CCTTTTCCTCCCCTTCCTCTTCCCATTCCCTTCCTCCTCCCACTTCTCTCTCCCTTCTTCCCCCTTCCCTATCCCCTCCTTTTTTCTCCTTTCCCTCTTTCCCTTCTCTCCCCTTCCTCTTCCCATTCCCCTTCCTCCTCCCCATTTCTCTCTCCCTTCTTCCCCTTCCCCTATCTCCTCCTTTTCCCCTCCCTTCCCTTCCCCCCTTCTCCCTTCAGCCTTGCCATGAAGTTTATGATGATGCGAAGCCCAAGGAGCAAGGAGGCTGCGATGATTTATCTCGAGAGTGAGAAATAGCGTTCGATCCATCACGGGAGAGAATCTTGTAAATCGCATTCGAGATGTACTTAAACTTGCGCTTGCAGTTTGGCTTTCTGCTGTTTCGTGCGTGCGTGTGCTTGCGCTCTTATGGACGCTGGCTCTTCGTAGGGAAGCGCGCGTATCGCAGCTGTGAGAGATGGGCAGGAATATCTGTGTGTTTATCAGTCTTTGTATTAATGACTGCAGTGTGGTGTGATGGTGTGTGCACTATATAATGCATATATTTTTGTACTTATAAATATATATAATATATTATATATAGTATATATTATATATATATATATAATATTGTGTGTGTGGTGTGTGTGTGTGTGTGTGTGTGTGGTGTGTGTGTATGTATGCATATATGTATTATATATATATATATATATATATATATATAATATATATATATATATATATATATTATATATAATATATATATATATGTATATATATATATTCTATATTATATATATTATATTATATGTATATATATTATATCTAAATATATATATATATATATATATATTTATATATGTATATGTATATATATGTATATATTATATATCTATATATATCTATATATATATATTAATATATAATGTATATTTATATATATATATATAATATATATATATATATACAGAAGAGAGAGGAGAGAGAGAGAGAGAGAGAGAGAGAGAGAGAGGAGAGAGAGAGAGAGATGTATAATAGTAGAAGGAATTTTAGATAAGAAGAAAAGAGAATACAGAATGTTGTGGAAGTTATTTCGATCAACGTTTGACTAGGTATTAATATTTTGTTAATCATCCATGCGTTAAATCTTAAGTAATATCAGCAATCCAAAACATGTAAAAGAAAAAAAACACACGAAATAGCGTTAATGAAAACCATTTAGTCCCATTTTACTGTTGGCTAAAAATTTATTCGAATTTTAACACCGGCGTTGTAAAATACCCAACGATTGTGGTTGTTCTTTATTCAAGGCCCTTTTTTTTACAGGGGTATTTATCGAAATTTTACGACAACGTTTT